TGTGTTGAGGGCACTGAAAATCATCTTTCTGGCTAACTTGAATGTACACCGAATTCTTGCCTACTGTAGCTCTCCTGCTGTGCCATACAAAACTGGAAGTTATTCCTTCTATCCTGGTACCTGAGAGCTGTCTTCTCTCTGTCTCTTGTCTCCAGTTCACTCCCAGGCTCTGGTGAGCACAGTTCTAGAGAAACCAGATTTCTGCTCAATTCAGTAAAGAGAAAGATAGCACAGGAAAAAGAGGTGTCAACTTTAGGTAAACACTGTTACTTTCTTGAATTAGAATCATGTCAGGTTATTTTTCTGCCTTGTCAAACTATAGAATATACCACCACTGTTGAGTAAATATGTACTGAACAGGTAAATATTTTTAGTTGTGTACTTGAACCCAAGGGTACTAAGTTAGGTGTGATCTGGTCCCCAACTTCCTGTCAGTTTTGTCCAATGGAAAGGTGAATACATGGACTTGAAAGTGATGGTTATTAGGACCAGAAGCTGTGGGTGCCCGAGGCAGTGAACACTTGGGTCAGCATTAGTGGGGTGTCCAGCTGTTGGGCTCCACATCCAACTCCTTGCCCCTTTAGTTCACCGCTGATCTTCCTTGGGCGACCTTGTTCAACCCCACCGTCTCCCACCTCCCTGGCTGCAGATAGCACAGTTGTCTTCCTCCTGCCCTGATGTCTTCTTGGTGCAGACGGGTGGGTCGAGGTCTCTACCCAGATGTCTGGCAGGGATTGTAAAGCCAGCACAAAGCGAGCACCCCCGCGCCCACACCTACTTCCCCAATCCTGCAGGTGTGCAGGGCGCCCTGCACCCAGCCTGCAGAGGCAGAGATGATCGCCTGAGATGCCTTCCCTGCCCGCACCCTTTATCTTCTGCTAAGTCAGGTTTCGAGTAGATTTCAGTTCCCCTCCCTCTTCATCCATATTTCCGTTGTGCAAATCCACATCCAGGATCTCTCCCTTCGTTAACTAGGTGGTCTGATGTCTGGTTACGGGAGCTCTTTCATCAAGTTCGCCATCTAACTCCTGCCACACGCAGCTTTCTGTCCTCTGTCTCGGGTGGAGAAATCTGATTGCAGCACTTCTCAGAATGAAGTTCCGTTACGCTGCCAGCAGAGCTGGGCCTTACCCTGTTCTGGATGTGTCCTCTGTCTCCTGTTGTTTTTTCTTTTCTCCAGAGGACTTATTTTAACTTCCCTGATCCTCGGAGGTTTTTTTCCTTCTGATTTCTGAGCTTTTAAACATGCTCTGCCTAGAGCACAGGTGTTCATTCCTAGCCTTCGTTTGCTCAGAAAACATTTTATCTTAGAAAGTCTTTGCATGATCCCCTACTCGGTGTTAGATGTCCCTCACAAGCCACCATCCCCATGCACATCTCTGTCATAGCACTGATCTCTGTTGTCATTGTTGGTTCATTTACTAGTCTGTTTCTCTAGACCACTGACCTCTTAGAGACCAGGTGCCCAAACTATAACCCAGAACTCACTTGCTTATCACCAAGTGCCCACACTGCAGTTAACCCTGACTACCCAGTGCTGAGCCGCTGGGGTGATGCTGGGATGAACTGACCCACAGAGAACGCTCCGTGTCCCTGAGCTGAGCGCTGCCCTGTTGCATCTCACCTTCAAGTTCAGTGACCTGAGAAAACATTTTTCAGCTCTCTTGGGCTGTTCCTCTGTCTTTAGTTCTCTATTTTGAAGCAATCTGCCCACTTGCTGTTTCTAGATCTGTGCACTGCAGACATTACTTATAGCCTTTGTATTTTGGGAGGTGAGGAGTGGCCTCAACCAGGATTTAGGGGGACAGTAGACCAGCAACCCACCCCACCCCGATCCTCCTAATGCAGTTTGCTCTCCGGGCCTGCTGCACAGTTAGTATTTCTAGAATTTGCTTCAACTCTCTCCTGAAACAGACTCTCGGTTTGTGGATTAGATGTTTTACCTTTCCTTTATTTACTTCATTTTTACATTATTTGCCAGCTTACTGAGAACAGGTGTGTGGGGTATAACAATTTCGAACCTTTATTTCATTCTCACGCTAGTTTAGACGTTTGGCTGGGTAGAGAAGTCTAAGATGGAAAACTGTTCTTGTTAGAATTTTAAAGGCATTGACCCGCATGACTAAATTCCTTTCACCTTCTTGCACATGCCGGCCAGCCTTGCTCCTGGGCCCCATGAGCAGCTGGGATAAGGCCCTAAAAGACTCAGTGCGGTCACTGGCTATAGGGGCAAGTCTCCTTTGCAATACCAGCCTCTCACAATTCATAGGTTCAGTCTTGCCTTCCTACAGTGGGCGAGGCCTCAGCTGGAAGGAGGCACCACAAGATGGGTCCTCGAACCCTTCATGATTACAGAGACTTGCTTGCTTATGCTGACTGAGAGTGTGATTTTATTGGAAGTTCTTGATATTTTAGGACTGCTATCAGCAGACCTGATTATTGAGTCCTGTGACATTGATTCTAGCTCCTCTGTTTGTGACTTGTTTTCCACATGAAAAACACAGCTTAGATAATGCAATTTAGATGCATTGTTGAAGAAGGAGAAGCAGCCTTCTGGATGGAGAAAAAAGTATGAGCCAGGGCATAGCCGTGTAATGGAGTGCAACGTCCCTGAAGAAGAGGGGGGCCTTCCTGGGAGCCATTCACTCCCTTATTCTTTATTGAGTGTCTGTTAGCTGTCTGACATAATGCTAGGACAAAGACAGCAAATGGCCTCATATGGATTAGTGGCAGAAACAGAAATGTGAATAGAAAATTAAAAAAAAAATTTATTGATTATTTTAAGGAGAAAAAAGATAAACAATGAAACTAAGTTACAAAACAGATTAGTAGGACAATTATAACAGTTGATACACTGCATGGTGTTGTCTTTGTCGTAGTTATTCAGAGTACGGGAGATGGTTAGCTATCTTGTCTAACCAATATTAGCACCAAGCATTCTTTTCGAGGAACAGAGAGAAGCTAGCTGTAAAGATATCTTAACTGTCTTGTGTATACATATATTTTTATCTTTCTTCCTCTCTCCTTTTCCCTTTCCCCTATCACAGTTTGTCTTTTCTTTTGAAGTTTCTTCCCAGTTCACAATATCTATGGTATATTTCAGATCCTATTTACTTGTTCAGTTTCTCATACTAGTGAGACAATATGATTTTTACACATACAGGAAAGATAATATATAAATACTGCCAGAACAATATAATACAGTGGTTAAGGGCACAGGCTTTGACACAGCCTAAGTGCAAAATCGAATTCCACCATTGTTAGCTGAACGACCTCAGGCAAGAGGTCGGTTCAGTTTCTCCTATGTAAAGTGAACACGATATTATGACAACATCATTGTTGTGAGAGTTGAAGGAGACAATGCAGTGTAAAGTACTTTATCTTCTGAACACAAAATAAGGCTTTAAGGATATTATTATTAAATTTGTGTGGCTGTGGGCTGATTCCTCCCTGGGCAGGATTTTTGTAAGTTAGGTGAGCTTTTGGGCTATTCCCTTAGGCATTAGAAATGATTTCAATACAGAGATGAAGGAGAAATTCATTTTGGTGCCTTGTCATCCTGCTTGCTTTACAAAACTCATTTTCGGGGGGACAGCAGTTTCCCTAAACTCTTGCAATTGCATTATATGACTGTCCTCAATAGCGGGTCAAAGCCTGTGCCCCAGTTTTTACTTTTGTTGGGTTGACACTGGCTTCCAAGTTCTTCCTGACTTACTATTTTTGACTCTGCGAGGCCAGGAAGTCCGCGGGAGTCACCTCCCCTCCCTTTCCAGCATGGCTTCGCCACCTGTGATCTGTCTTCGCTCAGAGACACCCGAGTGGGGTCCTGGGCTGGGCGGGGTTTGGTGATGCCCTCATCCACCCCTCACTTCCCAGACAAGAGAAACGAGGCTCCCAGCTGTGGGGGTTCCTTTTCCACCATCCACAATGCTCCTGGAGGTAACTATTAGTGCTGCCGGATGATAAACACTCATGTTCCTCTGCTGGTTCCAAACTTGGAAATAACAGGCAAACAAGACACAAGAATCTGACAGGAGGAGAGGAAACCTCTGGCTTTCTTCCTGAGTGATGTTAGAGTAGCAAACACAGCTCAGTCTGCAGTCAAATGGCCTCTGCTGCCCTGCTTAGGACATGGGTGTCTTCTACCCCATGGCGGGCAGCCATCCAGCTTGGAGTCTGAGTTCTGTGCCAGCATCTTCAGCTCCCTCACGGCAGGTGGCCTGATTCGGGCCCTTGTGATTTGAGAGGAAATCTCCAGAAAACTCCTGTCAGACCTGTATCTCAAGCAAGGGAGAGATGCTTGCGAGAAGATGCCTTCCCGTCTTTCTCCTCTTGTTTTTGGATGTTGCTGCCTCAGGACACCCAGGATGGGGAGGGAGGGAGACACATTTGTATTCTGAGGGTACAGAGCAGAAACAGGAAGCCCTGGGTCCTTGATGACATTGAAGGGCAGCAAGGCCGAGGCCTGAGCTCCCTGTCTGGGCTTCTTATCGCCCTCGGAGGCTTCTGCCTGTAACTCGGAGCTAGGAACAGCCTGACCACTCCCTGAGCTCCCGGACACTGAGCCACTATCTTTGTTTTCCAACCTCATCCATCAGCTAAGAGACTGGCAGTGCGGGTGTGAAGCAGACAGAGGAGGCGGGGCAGAGAATGGAGATAAATCTCCCATCCTACATCTGACCACAACATTGGAAGGGAAAGATTAGACTGGAGATGAAAAATAAAAAGGTCTTGTAATGTTTTTAATGGAGGCATTAGGTTCACAGTTTTGTATGATAAACACAGCTCAGTGTGTGCATGTGTGTATGTGTGTGTATGTTGGCGGTATTTCTCAAACTTCATGCCAAAGCACACTACCGGTGTGCTGATCTTCATGGCAGCTCAGAAGCAGAGCGGTAACGGTGGCGCTAGACATGCCTGAAACACACTCACCTCATCTCCGCAGCTCTGAGCAATGAAAGAAGGGTGAATTGCGTGACTACGTCTTTGAGGCACAGTAATTTCATTATGAAGCCTTCTTTATTTTTACCCCTGAGGGAAGAGGATTATTACAACTATGTTGTTTCCCATCAGACCATCAGAGAAACCCAAAGTCTTTTCTTCCGAACACAGCTATAGAATAGCAGAAGTGACGGAGGCTTGGGGCTGGGGATTTAGCTCAGCGGCGTAAGCACCTGCCTTGCAAGCAGGCAGTCGTGAGTTTGATCCCCGGTACCGATAAAAAGGAAAAAGACAAAAAAAAAAAAAAAAAAGTTTAGAAGTGACGGAGGCAGATAGCAGGCTGTTGGTCGGTCTCATTTCCCTCCTCTCCACACTGCCTTGATGAGCTAGTTCATGCTGCAAAGAGGGAGAGTGCTTGCTTCTTTCCTCCCCAAGTAACGGAAGTTAGTCGTGCATCCCAGGCCAACGGAGCAAGGTGCCAAGGAGCGTGAGGGAAGGGCCATGCACACTCACAGACCACCCAGCGGCAGCTTGGAACTGGCGAGGGCAGAGTGGCCGGGCCCGGGGCCTGGGATGGGAAGGAGAGCAGGGAGCGGGCCTGCGCCAGCTGGCTGGGCCAGTGCTTCGGGATCCTGGCCCTGTAAATTCTCATTCTTGCCTGTGGCCTCACATTGCTCCTGTCATTTCACTGTGCTGCTTGTACCGCCCTGAGTTCTCATTTAGAAATGAGAGAGCAAATCTTGTTGGATGGACCACTCACTCTTCTAGAAATATTGGCCAGACTTTCATGGGGCTGGACAAAGTTTTAAGTGGGGAGAAAATGGGAATAAGTGGTATTTTGTTCTCCACAGTCATTTAGTCATTTACTGATTTCCTCAAGTATTCGTTGCTTGCTACCAGTGGGCACTGGGGATGTGAGGACGTGCACGAGGATCAGCATAGCAGTGCTGGTCTGGCTGGCACCAGAGCAAATAAGCTGCTGGGTCTCAGAGGATGAGTGGAGGTGGAGCAGAGGCAGGCGCTGAGGAGAGGAAAGGCCAGTTGTCAAGGCAAGAGAGAGCATGACGGGGGCGTGAAGAGGACCAGGGACAGTGCCGGGGTGGGGGCTGGGAAGGGTCCCATTCAGCAGGTATGATCAGGGTTAGATGTGTGTAGCGTGACTCTCAGTGATGTCCTTTACAGAGATGAGAAGCACAAGCTGCAGTGGGTGGGAAGTCCTGGGGAGAGAGAGGAAGGACATTGGGCCAAATGAGATGCGGTGTTTGCATGACACAGAAGCAGGAGAAGCAGGCGGTGAGGACAGCCGTGAACAGTGCTGGGTGTTTATGTGCTTGCTCTGTGGGCCTTTCAGCCCGGTGTTCTGGGCCTCGCTGGCTCCATTCTGCTCAGGGCTTGTCCTGGGTTTGAGGCTCTTATCTCCCTTGCACTAGGTTTTGAGCTCCATTTCTCATCTTTGTCCAGCAGTCCCAAGGAGGGAGGAGCACTGGCTCCGGGAGACCCTGTTCTAGACCCCGGAAGTCGTGGCTGCAGGCAGAAATGGGCCTCAGATTTTTAAAAAATGCTGCTGCTCCGTATGTTCACCACTGCCCAAGCTTCAGGATCCTCGACTGTGTTTTTCTTCTTCTCCAACCTTCACTGGTCCAACCTACATCGGTGATTTTTTTTTTCAGTTTTATCCTTTATGATGAAATTCCTCCATCCTGTTGATGCTATAACTTCCCTTTGGTGGGCCTGATTATTATTCTGGCTTCATCATTCACGGAATATCAAGACCATCGATACTTGGGAAGAATTCCTCTTTGATTTAACTTGACGTGTCTGTCCCCTTCAGCCATGTGTGGGTGAGCAGCTGTGTTTTCCATTTCTAGATGCTGGGACCCTCACATCCAGAACCAGGCTCTGCAGATCTGAGACCATGGTGCTGGATAAATAAATATTTTGATACCTTCTAAAAAAAAATCTCTTTCATGGACTCCTTGATGCTTCATGCTTTGAAATATCATATGCACCGGCAGCCTGAGCTCAGTTGTTGAGGACATGGATATATTTCCACATGCCTGAGAAAATGGTGTACCCACTGTGTCTGGGCTTTCTCTCTAGACTGCTCCAGCAGAGTCCTATGCAGTCAAAACAAATCAGCCAGAGCTGAGCTGGAATTCCAGTTCCATCACTGATTGGCTGGAAGGCCATGGTTCATTATCTTAGCATCATTGTGTCTTAGTTTTCTCACCATAAAGGGCAAGATTCATAGGGTTATTGTTGTTGGACAAGACAAGATACGCTGTTAAGTGAGACGAGTCCAGGAGGAACACCGAGCACCCCTCCCTCTCCTTGACACCGGGAAGCCCAGCATGTCCACTTCAGGAGCTACCACATGGAGACCCCGAGCACTTGAGCCACTGCTAGTTTGAATGAAGTGGGCTGTCAAGGATGCTTGCTGCTAATGCAGGCTGGATGCCAAAGAGTTACCATTTTGAAAAGGACAGCGAAAGAGTATAAGGCTGAGATGGTGAGCAGCAAGAGTGAGCCCGGTCCGGGTGACTGAGTAACTCAGTGAGATCCTGTCCAAAGCTGAAAAATGAAAACACAGTGCAGGGAATGTAACTCAGTGTAAAGACCCCGAGTTCCATTCTCAGTCCTGAAAAAAACAAGGGCAAAATATTTTATCAATGTTGTAAATATTTATTACATTTGAAATGTAAATACTTGGGATAATGCTAAGTTAAATAAAGTTTATTTTCTTTCTGATATTACCACGCTGGGATTAATTATTGGCGTTAATTTCACTTGCTTCATTTTACCGTTTGCATGTAACTATTGGAAGATTTAACACTGCCTGTGAGACTTGAATCCTGTATCCGTGGATGTCTGGAACCTCCTGAGGGTTTCCAGAATCTGAGGCTGTGGCAAAGTGACCGCTCTGGAGTGCTCCTACCTCTCCCCTCACTGTGCCCTGGTACCTACCCTGCAGGTCACCTTTACCTCTGTCCTCAGGCCAGACTCTTGCTGAATCATGATGAACCAGAAACCCACCCTCTACCATGGCAGTGTGCTAGTAAGTGGGAGTAAGTGGGAGATTAGCCATGAACGAGACAAAGACCCTGATCTACACACAGTCCCCTCAGCTTGGACCAACCCACCTTCTAGGAAGTCGCCCCTGACCACATGGCTCCCCAACCCACACTCCAAGCTCCCACAGTGCCCCGCTTTACTTTATCGTAGTCTGTATTACACTTGAGATGGTGTCGAGTTTTACAAATCATACCAATTATTTTGAAATAATAATAGATTGTCATGCAGCTGTAAGAAGTGAGACAGAGGAAGTGCATATGCCTTTTATCCAGTTCGCCTCCATGATACATACAGAACAAAGCATCTAGGGACTGGATGTTGGTTCAACTTTTGAACCTCCCCAGATTTCCAATTTGAGCTGTATTCGTGTGTGTGTGTGTGTGTGTGTGTGTGCGTGTGCGCACGTGTTAGTTATGCAATTTTATGTTTCTTTCCTGTATCCACCACCATATTCAGGACAGCATTCCAGCCCATGTTGTCCTTTGGTAATGACACCACTTCCCTCTGAGTGCAGCCTTTCTTAATGCCTGGCCACAGCTGTTCACCCTCCCTTCTTATTCTTTTCTTCCTTCTCCTTCTTTTGCTTTTTTGAGACAGTCTCACTATGCAGCTCAGGCTGACCTTGAACTCGCAGTGATTCTCCTGTCTCAGCCTCTTGAGTACTGGGATTCCAGGTCTGTGCCTTTATGCCTGGCTTGTTCTTCATTTCTGTAACTTCTATAAATGAAGTCATACAGTGTGTAAACACTCCAGAGCGGCTTTCTAAGCTCTGAATGATTCATCTAAGTTGTGTATTTGCTCCTTTTTGTTGCTGAACAGTATCCCGCTCACGTGTGCACCAGGGTCTGCTTTAACACTCACCTGCTGAGGGACACCTGAGATATTTGTAGTTGAAAACTGCTTTGAACAAATATAGGGTTTTAGGTGGACATTTCTATTTCTTTGGGAGAAGTGGCCAAGAATGCACTTTCTTAGTCATTTTCATGTTGGCTTATTGTCATTTTCACTGGAATATTGATTCTTTGAGGTCAGCTGTTGTGTCTGGCATGATAACACTCAGTGTTAGGAAATGATGAATAAAATATGGATGGACAGGAAGAAGGAAGGAGTAAAAGAGAGAAAAATAAAAACCTACCACCACTGTCTAGTGTTTGTTACTTCACCCCTAAGCATTCCAACTTCATTATCTTTTCCTTTTTTGGAATGAACCCATTGATGGTGGCCCCAGATAGTGCGTGGCACACAGTGGTTGCTTTACATGTTTGTAAAGTGATGTAATGAGGGCTCTGGAAAGCAGAGTGGCTGTCCTGTCCACCTACCACATCCACAACACTCAGGCAGGGGAACACACCCAGGTGTGCAAGTGCTGGGGCTCTGATTCCAGGGATTTTTAGTGGATCCACGTCAGTAGTCAACATACGAAGAGGAGTTGATCCAAAGCTTGGCCAACAACAACCCTGAGCTTGTCTGTGTAACGGTTTGGGAATTACAGATGAGTGGCTTGGGGACCCAGTGGCTCCGTGGACTCATTCCAGTGAGCAGATGCAGGATGTACTTAAGTAAAGAATGCTTCTTTGTGACTTGTTAAGCACTTCTCTGTTTCTCTCGATTGGGCATGTATCTGCAGTGCCCTGCAAAGCTATGGCATTCAAAAGCAGAAGAGTCAGGTGGAAATAAAAACATTTCACTTCAGTGCCTAATCCACGCGCTCCTTAATTTGAAATAAATCTGTGACAAGCTACAGATACTTCTTTCAGAAGGTTGTGAAGAAAGGCTTGACGTGTCCTAGTAAATCAGACACAGACTTCATTATTTTTAGTCTTGTTAAAAAAGTTGCCATAGCAACACACCATCATTCAGGGCAAATGTTATCTCTTTAAGTCAGAACACAAGGAGCTGTCCCACAAACCCCGAGCACTTTCAGGGGAAAAAATGATTTTCCAATAAATGAATTTCTGCTAAGACTTGACCATTCATCTTTATTTGTAAGCTCAGAACTCTTCCCCTCTGTAAATAAGAGATATTAAAAGCAATATACAACTTTGTAAGATCCAAAGCTGCCCTTTCTTGTACTTCTTTGCAGAAAATCATTAATGCTATTAGTTCCATGAAACATGTAGTTTTATTTGTGGCTTTTCAATTCACCCACAGGAGGCATCATGGTAATTAATTTGACTCTTGGGCAGAGTATTGTGCATTCTGAGGGACCAGAGGGAAAGCCATGTGGCAGCATGCACACACATTTTCTAAACTCTGAGGACATGTTCCGGGAAGCAGCAAACAGTTAAGCTGCTCCTGGCTCTCCTGTATACCTGAGGAGCAGGGCGGCCCTCAGTAAGCACTGGTTGGACTCTGCTTTGCATCACAACTGAAATTGTTTGGGAATATTCATGAAGATTTATTAATAGATGGAATTTTGCAACGCTGGTAAATTTGGATCCCCAAAAGCATGAGCTTTGGGCCTTAGAAATTATTTCCATTTGCTTTTTCTCCCTCTAAAAAACTTGTTGGCTGTAGTGTCAAACCGCAGCCCCACAGGGGCTGGTAGATTGCACCTGGTGGTGGCATTGCTTCAGAATGCTGTTAAGGTCCCACAGTCCCCAAAGGCTTTGCTCCCTCTATTCTCAGACTCAGATCTTTTTATCCAGCTTCTAATACCTTTGCAGTTGAATATGCCTAATAACTGCCACTGTGACACAATTTTTTACTGGCAGCTTTGTATTTCTCAGTGGCGCATATAATGGTGATGAGCCTCCTGGGAAAGAAAGGACAGCAGTACAGAATCTCCGGGCACCACTTACCGAGCTCTGTGATGATCAACTGACAGACATTGTATTACAAAATCTTTAGTTGACCTCTGGGAAGGAGGCATTTTCAATGCGTGGGAAGATGAAGTTTCCGAGACCATCAAGCTGTGTTCCCTTGAGAAATGAAGCCCCTTGCCTTGTGGCTGAGTGGTCCCAAGACTCATCCTTCATCGCAAATTAACAACTGTCTGAGTCTAGATCTGAACAAAATCTTTACAAAACCTTATGGTAATGACAATGACTTCCTTGGATTCTCCATCTAAGTTTCCCTCAGCTGTTCTCTTTATAATAGAGTTTGCAAATCTTTAGATTTTGGAACTGGGGAGAGAGCTCATAAGTCCTGCAGTTTAATGCTACCATGTTACAAATGAGGAAACTGAGGCTGAGAGATGCTACTTTCCAAGAGGTAGGAGGTTGTGCCACTGAGAACCAGCATGGCTGATGCAGGAGGAGCATACTGTGTTCACCCGGGCTGTTACATGATGAGCAAACCCACCTGCCATCCCATGTGACCAAGACTTTAGAAATAGGCAGGTTACAAAGTGACGAAGGGCCTCCATTTGTTCCAGTGTAAAAAGGATAAACAGTAACTGATTTCCAGAATTGTTGGGGAGATGATGCATGAAGAGCAGAGCGGATTCCCACTGCCCAATACAGAGCAGATGTCTGATGGCCGAAAATGGTCATTCCTGAAATGGTGAGCATTGAGGAGAGGAAGCCAGTGATGCTGGAGCCTGGCATCACAGGGTCCTCAGAGCTCAGGCAAGAAGGATGCTGTGAGCCTCTCTTTGTTTGGTCATTGTTTTGTGATTCTGCATATGCCAGATCTAAAAGACCTCGGTGGCTCTTTTCAGAAACACAGCTCTTAGCTTTTGGCCTAGTAATGGCCCAGCAAGTTTAGCAAATCGTGGCAGGTAGCAATCTGTCCCATAGACGCCAGCCCTGATTGTGCTGCTCATAGGCTGACGGACTAAAGGAAGTCCTTTGTTTCAAGCCCAGTTCCATTGTTCATAAGGCACAGGTAATAATGTGACTGTAGACACAGGATGGTGCATTGATGAGCGTCATCACAGATTTCAAAATCTCAACCCTTCAATGAGTAGTATATTTGCTTAAAGGGTACCTTTCTTTGAAATGTTTAAACTTCTTTATTTAGCTGTGTTAGTTATTTAATATGCATCTTAACTGTCTCTGGCCATGTTATGATTTGCTGTGATGTGTAAACTCCTGAGGGCATAGATTGTGTTTGCTTCATTTACTTTTTAGAGCACCCAGAAGATTGCCTTCACCGAGTAGGCTTTTAATCCATTTGCATGCTGTTGTTGCAGACTGGAATATAAACTGAGTCACATCTCATGGAAAGTGACTATTCTGTTCTGACTTTAACCTTTTAAGATAAAAAAATTGAATGTTTCCATTAGAATAGCCTTGAAAGTCTTTCTGTGCAAAACAAACAGATAAATATTTGTTTATTTTAATTTAAAAAATCAATGTCATTTGATTTTCTATAATAGAAAGTCTGGCCAATGTAGAAAGAGTAGAAAATGCTGAAACGTTATACAGATGAAATGAAAAGTCACTTTACTTCCCTCGACTCATTTAAGATAGTGTTACCTACTACTTACTACCTGTAAGAGGCTCACATTTCCTCTTACCACAATTGTCATCTTTCAGTTAGTGATCCCTTTTCCTGCCAACAAAGAATTATTGTTTTGTTGTTTTTTAGTGAGTTGAAACATGCTGTGAGTTCAAGGAAAGAGTTTGCCATGAGCTGCCAATGACTTGCTCCTATTTAAAGGAAACAGTGGTTACCAGCAAGGAAAACTTAATCCATCTTGCCCCAGTGCATTAATTCTCTCAAACTCAGGTGTACCACCTCTGCTGATTGCACTGGGATTATGTCACCCACCAAGGCAACTTTCTGTTTCAGTAGGTGATGTTAAGAAACAAAACAATACCCTTACAGTTTATCAGTTTTGGAAAATAGAGACTGGCTTTATTTTCTGCAGCTTTGATGTGCTTAGTATTTCCTGTAAGGATCTGCCTTTCTTTTGCTTTGATTGACAAGACCTTTCCTCTATATTTGGGCATCCAACCAGCCCAGTAATAGAGGGTAGAGGCGTTTACCCAGAGCAGACTTCTACCACTCACTGTGACTTTCTTAAACCTTGAGTATCAGTCTCAGCTCCAAAAGAAGAGTTGGGCCCATCAAGATCAGGTAAGTGCCTCTCCACTTTGTGACTTCATTTTTCCTGTGGGAAAGTCCAAGAACTAGGATGACAGGTCAGAGACAGGAACTATGAGATCAGCTTGGAAATGCTGCATGGCTTAAATGGTAATGACTTGGGGGCATTCAACAAATGCAGTGCCCACTGTCACTTAGACATCCAGGTACTCTCAGGAAATGACAAAGATCCAGTGACAATAGCTTGGGATTATGTCTTTAATGCTTTTGAGGCTTCCTATCATTTTGAATTTAAATTTAATCACAACTAGGAGCTTATTACAGAGGAAGTGTAGAGCAGAAACAATTTGTAGTAAATAGGACACATCTTCTATGAATGGCCACATCTACGTGTCCATGTTTTTTTGGTGGGTTGGGTTAGAAACAACGCATGTAGGCCATGCCATTATTGATATTTATCTATTTCCCCCATTCATTTCTCAACCATAACATTGAAACTATAATTTTGAGTGAGCTGTGAAGCATGGCACCCAAATACCCTGACCCTCAATAGAAATAATTTCTGTGCACTCATGCATTATCTTAGGATATGCATGACTTTTGGTGTTATTCATATTTTGTGGTAATTTTGGAGAGATGATTAAGATACATTTCTGTTTTTGTCATAGAAGAGCTCAACTTTTAAATTTGTCTTTCTTTCTTGATATATTTTTATTCATGCCTATTAATTTTACAAAATATTGGGTTTCGATGTGGCATTTTCACACATGCGTATATTTTGATCATGTCCATCTCCCTTTAAACATCTTTCACATGTAAGTTGACTGCAGCTATGGATTTGCAATAAGGAAAATCCCAAGAATTCACTTGGAGGGCTGGAGATCTGAAGAGACCCATGGAATCTGTACTGGAGCCAGTTATGGAAGGCTCTGGGCACCTGTGTTGGAGTTTAATGGGTATTTACATTTCCTGGCTCACTTGTGCAGAAATGCAAAAGAGCAAGTTCCCTTGGACAGCAGCAAATCTTGGCCCTGTCGCCTGGGCAGTGGGGGATCTCAGCTCTGTTTCCTTTCCCTCCCTGGAGGAACGTCATGAAGCCGGTGAGCCTCTTCCTGGGAGCCCTGGCCCTGCTCTTTCTGGATGGCTATGGCTCTGTGCTTGGTGCCTCCAGCGATGAGCTGCGTACCTTTGTGGGCTGTGCCGTGAGGGAATTTACCTTCCTGGCCAAGAAGCCGGGCTGCAAGGGCCTTCGGATCACCACAGATGCCTGCTGGGGCCGCTGTGAGACCTGGGAGGTGAGTTACTAGGATGATGGCTGGGATGGCAGAGCTTCCAGGACCAGCCGCTTGGGCTTGATTCTTAAGCATTTACTGTTTCAGTAATGGGAACTAGAACCCAGGTGTCTGCTCTTCCCTGTTGATTAAAAAAGCACTAGCACAATTATCTGGAAGTTTGCAAAAATGATGTAAAAAAGCCCCATTCTGCCTCTCTAAGAAAGCACTGATCTGGTGAGTAACTTGCTTGACACAGTGTCTGTGTATTTCGTGATACTCGTGGGAATTCCTACCCATTTCACAGGCCACATGGAGGGTTCAAAGGGTGACTGTCGTCACAGAGAATCAATATACGGTTGGGATCAACCCTTGGTTCCAGTCCTGTGAACCACTCTTCTCTCTCCTCTGGGACAAAGTCAGCCAGTTACTGAGAAGGAGACCCAGGGCTGTGCGGTGAGAGAGGGGCACCCAGGCCTCTTCTGCATCCTCCTCTGTTCCCTGGTGACTTCAGGAGATCACTGATGGAGCCACCAAGTCCCTTTATTTTCCACTATATCTGGCCTTTTACTGAAAATGGGCCTAAGAATTTCCAATAAAGTTGGAATCCTGCTGGTCTTTGATGAGCTCTTAGAGGGAGGAGGAGAAGAAGGGCTGACGAGCTCCGAGCACGTCACACCACGGAGTGATTACTGGGGGCCACCAATCCCTGAGTGGGTCACTGCGGAGCACCAGCCCTGGTCTTGTCAGTCCTCAGCTCTGAAACCTTTAATGGCCACCCATTTGTGCAGATTCAACACCAACAGCTGTCTTCACCAATACGGCAGATGCCTACAGTTTTGGGCACATCCTGCATTCTTAGCTTTGGCCTCGTCAGGTTGACCTTTAAAGGTTTCTGAACAGCAGGGGACTCAAAGGCTGGGAGGTCTCAGCAGTCTCTCATCTGCCTTTCCTGGTCAGGGAGCCATCTGATAGAATTTTCGGCGCAGAAGGGACCCATCTGATAGGATTTTGGTGCGGCTGAAAAGAAGTATGAAATAAAAGTGGCTTTTATTTTAAGAATGTGGGGAGAGACGGCATGACCCTCTGGGGTCTGGCATTCTCTCTGCCAGACACGTGGAGTGAGGGCATACATGTAGATTAGGTTTGGAGTGGTGCCTAAGGGGCAGTAGTGGTGCACAGGTAAATTGCCTAGGGGCGGGAAGATGACCTAAAGATAGAGCCCCTTGGTTCCACCTCCCAGCTTTCCACTGGCTACAGTGTCCCATTTGGGACAAAAACCTCTCAATTTCTAGCACAGCCTTCATGAAATCTTTTTTTTTTTTTTTATTTTTTTTTTTTATATCAGGGATTGAACTCACGACCTCATGCTTTCTAAGCAGGCTCTTAAGCTGCTGAGCTAAATCCCCAGCCCTTCCTCATGAAATCTTACGAAATCCCCAACTGTCATTATCATTGTGATTTCTCTATGCCTGGCCCCAGGGCCAACTCCTTCCCTGAGCCTTGGCTGGCTCCCTCGTCTTTTCTTGACCCGATTCTACCTTTTGTTCTAGCTTGCTACACACACACACACACACACACACACACACACACACATATAATTTTAAGTTTTTCTGAGGGCTGAGTTTCATTCTCGTGACTTTGGTAGCATTTCTCAAAGTGTTGCAGGTGAACAAAGTGTTCGGTGCACACCCGTTGAGCTGGATGGGACTGAACTCTGTGTGACATCCGCAGCCCGGTGGAAGCCAGCTCTGCAGCACTGGGCCTTGGGAGAAGGCGGCTTTGCTACTCCACAAAATTAGCTATTTTATTATTTCATTATTTTGTTACTTTGCAACGTTCAGTCCCTGGACCTAAAAATAACCAAATGAAAGTTCAGTTTTGCTCTATATACTGTCTGCCCACTGACATCAGATGAACTCGGGTGTCTTCTCCTATGCAGGGTCTGGCCTGACAGTGCCTTCTGCAGTGTCTTGGATCAGGCGCCACCTTCTTAAACTCCAGGTTCCCCTCACTCAGCCCATCCTCTCTTCTTTAATCCATGATTAACGTCTCTAACTGGGCCCTGGTCACCCACAGGAAGTCAAGGACTGAGCAATCCCTGTAGAAATGGAAAGACCAAGCCCAGGAGAGAATCAGCTTTTCCCTAATATTAGCCAGCTTTTATTTGAGTCTTTACTGTGTTAAGAACAGTGAAATTATCCATGTAAAGAATACAAGATGGGAAGACTGAGATTCATTTTCCCAGCAACCAGAAAGTTTCTGAGATAAGGAACGCAGTCTTGGCTCTTTGGTAGCCTGTGTCTGAAAATAAGAATTTTCATGGCAATGAAGTGGCTGAGTTTACTTTAAAAGCATGAATCTGTCCCACGTATCATTCCAAGAAGTTAATTATTCTGAAATACAAATTGAACTGGACGTCTGGTCTGCCTGGGTTCTCAGGGTACTGAGGTGAGAGCACAAAGTGAACTGAGGCAGGGAGGAGAAAAATGACAAACAGCTCCTCTGAGTCAAGTTCTTCACGGCCCTTGTGGAAGGCCAGGTTGCTAATTTTCATAGCATTTATACAAGAACTTCTGGGTTCTGTCTCTCACCCATCTGTCTCTCTGCCTGCCTCTCTGTCTATCTATCTATCCATCCATCCATCATAATTATCATCTGTCTGAAGGAACTATGCTTTGAAAGATTAGTTTTTCATTATTACTTGCCAATATGTGGTCCAGTAAGACAGTAGATTATACTGACTGAACATTTACCTTATGCAAGAGTGCGGGCATTGGTTGGTGTTCTAGTGGATGAGGAAACTGGATGTCAGTGAGTTAAGGTTTCCAGGTCTCTGACAGTTGCACAAGCTAAACAGGTCTGACTGTAGGGCCCCGGGTATTTGACCACTACCTTGTGCTGATTTTTCCCTGATCTGTGTCCTTCATTTTATAAAAATGATCTTGGAACTCAGGATTTACAAGGTAAAGGATGGAAGAGAATCTTTCCATATCAGAACATTGCATAGAGCATTTGGGAAGCTTCCTGGCTCTATTTTCTATCATTGATTCATCAGATACTTATTGAGAACCTTCTGGGTACCCCTCTGGGAATGGGAACCCTGCAGGGACCAAATAGGCTAGAACCCTGGTCATAATAGGCTTACTCTCTAGAGCTGGAGAGTAAGTAGAGAATTGTTTGTCAGAGAACAAGATAAAATAGCTAAGAGGCCACTTGGTGTGGAGAAAAATGAAGCAGGAAACAGGAGAGGGAGCTCTAGAGCCTGGAGGTGAGATGTTGAATTTTCAGGAGGATGTCAGGAAATGCTTCCTTGAGAGGCCGACCTTTGAATAAAAACCTGGAGCTGTGGAGCTGTGAGTTGTAGGGCCAAGAATGCTCCAGGCAGGGGGACAGCTGAGGAGACCCTCAGAGGGGTGATTTGAGGAAGAATAGAAATCACCAGCGGCTGGAGCCAGGTAAGAAAGTCACAAGGTGGGAATGGTCACAGGTTTATCAGGACAATGACAAGTTTCAATCTGAAAGGTGCATGAAAATGAGGTCGGGTCTGAAGGAGGCCACAAAAGCTTTAACTTTTGCTCTGAGTGATGCGGGGAAATCGCTGGGGTTTGAGCAAAGGGAAAGGTGAATCTGGCTCATTTTAAAAGGATCCCTTAGGGCCCCGGGTGCTGCAAACAGACATGGGGCTGCTGGTGGAGCGGGGAGACCATTTAGAAGGCATGTGTGATGGTCAGCACTGTTCATTTGCTGCATGTGTATTGAACGCTTCCTGTGAGCAGTGCTCTGGACTTATCTAGGAGCTCAGGACAGGCTGATGACCAAAACCAGCTTCCTGCTTTCAGCAGTTTGCTTTCTGCTGGGAGGAGACAGAGCACTAAGTAAACAGATGAAAACAAAGTTACTTTCTTATAGGATGAGTGGGACCGAGAAAAGGAAACTGGTTCTAATGCTTCCCTGCTTTCTCCCTGTGGGGACAGAGACCCATTCTGGAGCCCCCCTACATTGAAGCACATCATCGAGTCTGCACCTACAATGAGACCAGACAGGTGACAGTCAAGCTGCCTAAATGTGCCCCTGGGATCGACCCCTTCTATACCTATCCCGTGGCTGTACGCTGTGACTGCGGGGCCTGCTCCACGGCCACCACGGAGTGCGAGACCATGTGAATTGGACATTGCCTGCCCCACACAGCTAGCGGCCAGGAGCTTCACAGACCCGAGCAGCACAAGCAGCAACACCCCTGGATGGAAGGAGCTTGTTTCCGCTGTCACCTGTCTCCCTTATGTCCAGCTGGGGCACAAGGCCCAGAGGCAGCACACTCATGCTAAAACTGCAAAACAACATTCGTGCTTTTGCCACCATAATTTCTCTTGCTCACACGTTTTCCTTTGCCTTGAGTCTTGGACCATCCTCTGTATATTGTGTCCCTCATGCCCGTTGACAGGAAATGATGAGGTGCCACCGTTTCAAATGCACTGGCTCTGTGTAGGAAATGGGGCTGAAATCTGAAAATTTTCACATTCCGGTTAACCACTGATCCCCTAGATTTATGATTAAAGGGCTAGAAATGATCAAAGCCAGCAAGCACACCAGTGTTCCTTTCTTAAAAGGAAACCCAACTAACTGCAAGTGTCCCTAGAGAAAATTCTCCATTTCTCTTTCAACTGGGCTATTATCCTCACAAGAAATAGAGACTGCTCAGCCTCCTAAGGAGAAGGATTTGATAGAGACACTGTCTCAAAGTAAGAGGTGTTTGGATTTGGCTAGTTCACGCTGAAGAAAAATTCCTCAAGTTCCCTTAAGATCCTCAACACAGAAGCTGCTTTGTCATAAAACAAATAAAACAAGCATAGACAAAAATATAAAACCAGAAGGTATCAATTTGGCTTAAAAATTTCTGAAACAAAAATCCTACTCTCAGAGTGATATTCTCATAAAGATACTGCAAAATGGTCAATTTCAAATATTCTTCTCTATTTAGTATATTTTAAATTTCAATGGTAATTTCAGAAATTTAACATATCTGAAAGGGTAAAGTGCATTGCTGGGTCAGAGGGAAAAAGTCTGTGACTGTTAGCTCTTGGCTCCTGCCTCTCCCTATATTGTAGCAACTGATTCTGTGACTTAAACAAACAAACAAACAAATCTCTAGTTTTATGTAAGTGTCATTGATTTTGGGGTTGGCTATAACCTTGTTCATTTTTCATGATATTCCAGGGAAATATGTGTTAATACCAATAAATCATGTTCTCTGTCTTTTGAATTCATGCAAATTTTCAGAAACCTTTGTAATCTTTAATGCATTTGGTGCAATGCTAGGAAGAACACTAAAATGGAGCAGGAAGGCAGTTTTTACCTAAGCATTAATTTGGAAGGGGGAGAACATATTTAGTGAGGGACACCGACAGATGACACATCATGGCTGGTAGCCACGAGCCTTCCTTGAAGGGAAGTCAATGGGTTCCCTGGAAAACAGTGGAGCAAATGTTGTTACTGATGATCAACAGCTGGGATGTGGGGCCAAAGGGCACTGAGCAAAATTCACCCAGCTCCTGGCAGATCTATTGGCAGGGAGGGACATACCGCTAACCTGAAGGGGAGCTGAGTGTCTGTGGTGTCTGCTGGGACGGTGGGAGCTGATGAGAGAGAGGCTGGGTGCTGCTGCTCTTCCCTAGGAAATCTGCCCTGGATTTTCTGAGACAGGAAGGGCTTGCCAGAGTTTGAGGAAAGATGGTTTCCATTAGGAAGCAAGTTAGGTGAGTCTATGAAGAGACTATTTGTAAATGTGTGGGTAGAGTTAAGGAGACTGAGAAGGAGGGGTGAACTAACTGCTTCTGGTGTGGAAGCCATAGGTGGGTGGGCTCTAGTCCCTCTAAGAAGAGGGCTTGAAGAAAGAGAACAAGGAGAGACCCATGCTGACTCGTGTAGAAAGGGTAAGAGAGAATAGATACCCCACTTTCCTCCTCCCTCCAGGTCCTCTGTTAGGTCAAATGGGAGTCACATGGAAGCCCAAGAGTGAGGGAGTCCATTGATTTGGTCTGTAAATGTTGGTTTCTGGGCAGCAGATTGAAGAAAGACGGAGACTAGATCAAAAGGGGCAAATGGATAAAATCCAGCAGAGCTCTCAGGAGGCTCTCAGTCAGCAGTAATGTTGGCTGTGAGGGCAACGAGGCATGCCCCGTATCACCAAGACTTTCCAAGGTGCACTGGAGTGATGCATGTGGATAGGTGTGCACTTCCCAATGGATAGCATTTGGGAGGCAGGAGGAGAACCATAATGATAAGGACTGTGGGATCAGTTGGTTAAGTACAATCAAAGCCCTCAGGGAATGGCTTGAAAACCAGCATTGGAAGAGAGATTATTTTTTTAATGCATCTGGAAGGTAGAGACTGCTGAAAATCAGGCCTGATACCTCATTGGGAGAACAACTCAATTATAAAAACACTGACTCTACTACTGGAAAAATATCCCACATTTAAGTTCTCCTAACAGGGAAGGAAGGGGACACAGAGACCTAGTGTGGGTCAAGGGGACAAGTACTTGATGCACTAGGCGGAGATGTACTAGATGTACTCAAGATTCCCTGCAGAAGGGGCTTCCTGTTCCTCTTCGCTATAGGAGAGCAGACTCCCCTTGCTTGGAGACCTTGCAGAGTGCCATCCAATGAGGTTGTTTTACGTGATAATGTTTATCCTTCTCCAATACTGCCCACCACCTCTGTATTTCAGGTGAGTAATTAGAGGCAAGTCTCAGAATCATCCACTTGGGGAAAGACATTCCCTCTAGAGGAAGGAAAGAGACTCTTCACTACAGGACCTCTAGGACCTAGGGATGCAAACCAGGAGAAACTGGGAGAACAAACTTGACAATGGATCTTGGGCGAGTTAGAGGGGGAAGAGAGGAGGAGAGCTGCAGAACAGAAGACTGGGAAGGAAGGATTTGTCCATAGAGTACCATTGTCAGAATTTATCACCATCTTATGGGTGGCAGTGCCTGGTACCAATGTGCTGTTGGATGGCTCCTTCAAGCTTGGGGCAAATGGTTACAGAATGAGCTGTACCTACAGGAGAAAAGTTAACCTGCTCAACAAAAGAAGCAGGATATAGATGTCAGCTAAAAATTAATGAAAGATTCTAGCTAAATTGTTTCCAACAGGATGTCTTTTGTGATTCTCTCCTTTAAAAACTCTGCAACTTTCCAGTTCGGGGCCTCTTGTTTGAACCCTAAACTGGTGTGAGGGGAGTCTGTATACAAGTGGTTCTGAGCTCAGCTAGTTAAATTCAAAATTTATCAGTTTGGCTGCTTGGATTCCTATATTGTGTTCATGAACCCACCTCATGAATAATTTTAAAAAAAGCTTGGCATTGTAGCTCAGTGCCAAGACCCTGGGTTCAGCCTCCATTTGAGAGAGAGAGAGAGAGAGAGAGAGAGAGAGAGAGAGAGAGAGAGAGAGAGACAGACAGAGAGAGAGAGACAGACAGAGAGAGAGAGAGAGACAGAGAGAGAGACAAAGAGAGAGAGAAAGAGAGATACAGACAGACAGAGAGACAGAGACAGAGAGAGACAGAGAGACAGAGAGATTTTTCTACTTGTGAAATAGTCTACTGGACTATAAGAATTGTGGTTTTTATTTGCAAGATGAGTCTTCTGCCATTTATTTTACAAAAATCTCTCTTTGGCTTAATAAGTGAAATTGTCTGAAACTGTGTGCAGGGCAGCAGGCGGGCTGAGTGTCCTGCCGATGATCCTGGTGGGTCTGCAGGAGATGCTAACACCCTGTGCAAGGGGAAAGCTGATGACAGGAACAAGAAACAGGGAAGATGGGCACACAAGGGGAGCAGGTGTGAAGCTCTGTAGTTGGCAACAGGAGGCAGAGACTTGTCTCCAGCATGAAGGAATTTAGAGGGATTATTCTGTTCTCCTCTCAAGGTCTTCATTATTGGAAGTAAAGTGAACTTTTCCCAAGCTTGTTGGCTTTCTGTCTGACCCTATGTTTCTCCAGCTGTACAATTTCTGTAGCATATGGAATAACTGAGTTTAAAAAAAAGGCTTCCTGACACACAGAGTGTTATTATATACTTTGACCTTGACTGTGAGCCAATCAATGCTTTTGGAAATTCATGCAGAGCACAGTCACCTCCCCACAAAAACAAAGCAAAGCCAAACAAAACAACAAGCAAACAAAACAAAAACAACCAAACACCTCTAACAAACAGAAGATAACAATCTTTTATCTCTAGAAGCCAAAAAAAGTCTTATTTTAACAAGAATATCAACATTACTAAGATGAAAAAGGTAATTTTGGTAACGTTGAAATTAGTATTACAAACAAAGAATAAGTGTGAATATCTCCAAACTGTGGGTACAGGTAAAAATTAATTTGAAAGAACATTTACTCACTGAGAGCAAGCTGTCTCCGTATACAGTAAAGGATGTGGATGGCTGAAGCCATCCTAGCTTGTGATGCAGAATTATGCTCTTGAAACAGAAATTTAATCCTGTTAGTTTGCAAGTTCTTTTTCTGTGAAATGTACAAATAGGCTGTGCTTCCTTGGCTTCCTGTGCTGCTCATGGGAAGGATTTTTCTACGTTCACAGCATAGAAAACTGGGCTTTCTCGTCACAGTGGTGAAGTTCTAGGCTTTCAGGCTGTTGTCAGCTTCTACTGTCCATGTATATCCTCTTGGAATCCACATACTATGACTAAAACATTCTGGCACAGATTTTCCTGAGAAGAATCAAAACATCCAACATTTAAAAATATATTTAAAAATATGTTGGAAATGTGCTCGGCTTTTGCATCCTGCTTGACCAAGCTCAAGAAGAACATCTCCCTATTGAAACATCAGCACCACTACAGAGAAACAAAGGCCGGTGGGAACTGGCCCCAGACTTCAGCGCTAACAACATTGAGCCAGCTTACCTCAGGGCTAAGCCAAAGGATAAGGGCACCACGAATCTGCCTGTCTCACCCTCCCTGCTTTAGGGGGCCAGTGAGGGGGAGTGAGTGGGCTCTGATGAGGGTGTCCTCTTCTTCTGCACTCGGTTATTTCAAAGCACTTCGTTTGGTGGGAATGTTTGCATTCAGATGAGGGGAGGCTCACAGATGGCTTGGGGGATATTTTATTTTATTTTACTGTCACAGTCAAGGGACTAGAAACCAAACTTTTAACAATGTAAGTGGATTCTTGATGAGAAACCTGTGGTTGCTGTTAATTTTCTCTCCCTATTAGTTGAATAAAACTGGCTGTCTTTTGTGGCCTGGGGAAGGCAGGGATTGGATGAGATGCTTGGGCTGCCAGAAGATGTGCAGGCCCTATTCTATTTTGTTTTACTAAGAGAAAAAGGACAATAAAAACAATGATACAGTATTTCAGGACAAGACAATAGGAGAGGCCCTGGTTTAAGAAGTACTCTGTGGCTCTGTGGTCCCATTTGCCCAGCTCTCCTCCTTTTTGGTATCTTCCTGAAGGATTAAAAGCATCATAGCACAGAGGTATACGTGCACTCATGTTCATAGCAGCACAGTTTCTAATAGCTAAATCTTGGAAACAGCCCAAATGCCCATCAATCAGTGAATGGATAAAGTTTATTTTCTTTTAAATACACAATAGAGTACTACTCTGATGTAAAGAAGGATAATCTAGCTAAATGGATGCACCTGGAGGCCATTCTCTTAAGTGGAAAAAGTCAGACAAATGTGTAAATCCACATTGTTTCTCTGGTGTGGAAAAAAAAGCATAAATAAGGACCAAAATGTATAATAGATGTTGTGAAATAGGAAAAAAAATGTTCAAATAGGAAGGGGAACTAGGGAGGGCAGAAAGGAAGGAAGGGAAAAGAAAAACATAAGACAAGAAGGAAAAAATAGAAACAAAGACTTTGTAAATAAGGAGAGAAAGAAGAGTTGAAGGGAGGAGAGGAGAATGGGCAGTAAAAAGAATCAAGCCAAATGATGTACAGGTACAAATTCTCTATGATGAGCGTGGTCAATACGTATACCTAGAACGTACCAGTCAACTTAATAGAAAGAGAAAAGATGAGGCAGGAAGATCATTGCAAGTCAGAGACCAGCCTGGGCTACAAAGCGAGCTCAAGGCCAGCAGGAACTGCACAGTGAGACCCCGTCTCGAAAAGAAAAGAGAAAAGAAAAGAAAAGAAGCGCTCTTTGGCAGCTTGCTTCAGTGGTTACAGGCAAGAAGTCATGGATACATTAGCAGTAGTGACAATGACCTTTGGTGAGACGCCGTGTTTGGCTTAGGTTAAAGCCCACTGGGAATGTGAGTTGCGGTGATGGACAGTGCTGCTCCCTGGGGAAAGGGTTTCCTAGCTTAAAGGGTCCTGGTGGAAGGGCCACCTTGGACGCAAATTGGTTTCTGCTGCTTGAGCATAAGGCCCCCTGACTGAACCGAAAATGCCTCTGTGTGCATAGGGCGGGGCCCTGGGCTGGGAGAGGGGATGGCCTGTCCTGTGCCAAGGGGTGGCAGCTTGGTGTCTGCGTGTGTCCAGTGTTATCAGCTTCTTTTTCTGGGATTGAAACACTGACATCCTAGCCGGGTTAGTGAGGCCGTTTGCAGGTACAGAGCAGTCGTGGCTCTAGTGTTCTCTGATGTGATTAAAGGTAGGTAGGATTTGCACGTGACTTCTTCGGCAGTAGGGGGCCTGAATGAGACCATAGACTTCCATCTGTGTAGGTACAATTTTTAAAAGGACTTTGTACAGAGAGTGAGGTGTGGGCAGGGAGAGCAAAGCCTGGTCCCTCGTGATGTTTGTAGAACTGCGGTGAATAAGTGAATGAGCCTCTGGTCTGTGCTTGAGACAGTAATGCAGAGAGAGTCAAGTTAGCAGAATGGGTTCCTGTCCCGTCTATAGGACAAGTGGTTTGTGGTCAGTCTTTATGTCACAGATGGAGCTCCAGGTCTGAAGCAATGAGATGGAAGCTGCTCCAAATTTTTATGACTCAGAAATTTGTTTTATCTTTATTCAGTAATCTGTAAACTTCACATAATATGAATCCTTCTTATTTCTTCATGGAAGGTAAGTTGGGGGGCATTTTCCTTCCCCCCTTATCAAAAAGAATTTTAGAACAGAAATACTTCAGAGTGCAGAAAATCTTTCAAGCTAGTTGCTGCTTTTTTTGCCCTATTCTAAAATACACGCACTCCTTTATTGTATCTGGGTAGCACAGGTCAATAAAAAGAAAATGCTCTGACAGTCCTTTTCTTCACCTAGTAAAGACAAGTGACTCAAATATTAACAAGAGCCAGGCTGAGCTGATGGTGTCTTCATCAGGCAGATCTTACATGGCTGAAAGTAAGATTGATAATGAACTTGGTTGCCTCCTGGTTCTTTCCCAGGTCTTATGTGTACGCACATTGTGTGGGGAGCTCACTAAAATGCAAAATCTGGTTCAGCAAGGTTGGACTGAGTCTGAGACTGTAGTCCTAAGCAGTGCTCTAGTGATGTTGATGGGGTCTGGTCCTGGGCCACACTTTGAACTGCAAAAAGCAAGAGAACTTATAAGAGACCCACAAAAGTCAGTCAGCTGGAGTGGCTGATAGAGACACTTTCAAATGACCCACAAAGGAGAACGGAGTAGGGGGAGATATTTAATGACCTGAAAATCAGAATTCAGCATAGGAGAAACTGCAAGGTTTAAGAGTACAATGAAATAATGTTCCATTAATTATGAAAAGAGTACATAGCATAGCCATTGAAAAAGATCCACATGTAGGAACGCCAGCTGCTGAGCGGGTCCGCTCTGCTTCCCTGGATCTGCAGACGCAGCAATGGGTGGAACAGGGGCTGTTGGAACGGAGACAAAATTCTGCTGAGATGCACTTAAATAGCAATTCCTCTTCACTTGGAGCAAAAGACAATTTAACCAGGTGACAAGGAGGAGAATTCATTAACTTTCATGCCTGTGGCTTCTTGCGAAGAAAAGAACCTGCTTTAAAAATGATGAAAAAATGTCAGGTAGAGGGAACTTTAGATGTGTATTAAAAAAGCACAAACACACTTTCTCAGAAAGTGTTTCTGTTTTTTTCCTCAGAGAACTAACATACACTCAAGAGAAAAAAAGAGAGAGAGACTGATTTGTGCAGTGTCACTGAGAGACTAAGTGTGCTGAGTAAGGATGCTTCAGGGAAGACTGAGGTCTGAGCCTTGCAAACTGATAATGCCATGATATCACATCCGCTATGTTGTTGTCAGGGCTTGTCAAGGAGAACAATTACATACAGGGCACATCATTTATATTGTTATGTATAATGGGCATCCAAGGAGTCAAATACAAAGGAAGTGCAGGAAATCTGTTCGCAATACTGAAGACCTAGATAATCTGGCTGAGGGCCTAGATCTCATGGCAATATCCTGCATGAGTTCAGCTGAAGACCTAGAGCCCATGACAACGACTCATGCAAGTCTATACCATGGATCTGCACTGGGAAGGCACAAAGGTTAAAGGTGAAAGCTACAATGTCTATGCTAGCAGGGTGAAAGATCTGTGCCAGGAGGCTGAGGATTCTTCACTGGAGCCAAGAAGCAGAACCAGAGCTCCCCTGATAAGTACCACAGCCATCCTCAGTGACAGTGAGGTCCTGAGCTCCTCCTACAATGAGAACAGCTGAGCACATATCAGGAAGCCAGCATAACAAACTTCTCCTGGAGAATAAACAGCATGTATCTTCCCCTTTAGAGCCACGAAGTGATGTTCAAAGGTCCAGAGCCTCCCAAAGTAAACTGCAGGCATTCTCAGCAACAAGGTTCCAAGTAGCTCCGATGATAATAGTTGAGTTCGTGTCAGGGAAGCAGCATGACAAAATCCTCCAAGAGAACCAATAGCTCCTAACAACAACACTCAGGAGAACCCACAATGCTACTCTTCCTCTGCAGGTCTCCTTTTTATGCTGATAACACACCTCAGGTGAGCCATCTAACTCAGCACCATGCTGATTCAGTACAGCTGGTGTTTAAGTTGACTAACAGTTACCAATCCACTACACCCTATAACGCGGGTCAGACCCTGTTAAGTAAGGGTAACTGCATGTACTGAGATGCTTGGAGTATGTGGATTAAAATACAGACAAAAAATTACTGCAGTTGTTGTGTCAGAAGTTTTTGAATTATTGCAGAACTTGGAAAAAGCCACCAGGATAGAACACAATTAAAACACATGCAACAAAGCAACCGTAGTTTTGGACGTCATTCTCCAAGGAGGAAAAACATAGATTGTGACCAAGATTAATCATGCAGCTTCTACTCTCATTTCCTGCAATGGACGTTCAGAGCCAACAACGGCTGTTGAACTTGCATCCCATCATTTCACAGAGGAGCCAAACCTCTCCAACTCATTCTTCCCTGGCCCAAAGACATCCCCAGAAAGCCTGGCCAAGCCCCTGATGGCTGAAGTGATGCTAAGCAGAGCCTGATGTTCTGATTTTCTCTCTCTCTCTTTTTTTAAATTTTCTTTCTGGTCTTTGCTGATTATTGAAGAACAATGCATTATTGTTTTAACTTTAATTTTTGCATTCTATTATTGTATCTGTACATATTAAATACAAACTATCTGGAAATATACCTCTGAAGATGAATAAATATCATTCATCTAACTAATGATCTTTCTAGATACCTCCAAGTCATCCTTTCCAAGTTTTAAATCATGTTCATGCTCAAGGAAATGTTCAAAGTAATTTATTCACTTGTGTTTCTTGGTAAGTTTCCCCTTGG